ACATCCTGCTAAAGGTATCATGATTCCACCTGTACATCCTGCTAAAGGTATCATGATTCCACCTGTACATCCTGCTAAAGGTATCATGATTCCACCTGTACATCCTGCTAAAGGTATCATGATTCCACCTGTACATCCTGCTAAAGGTATCATGATTCCACCTGTACATCCTGCTAAAGGTATCATGATTCCACCTGTACATCCTGCTAAAGGTATCATGATTCCACCTGTACATCCTGCTAAAGGTATCATGATTCCACCTGTACATCCTGCTAAAGGTATCATGATTCCACCTGTACATCCTGCTAAAGGTATCATGATTCCACCTGTACATCCTGCTAAAGGTATCATGATTCCACCTGTACATCCTGCTAAAGGTATCATGATTCCACCTGTACATCCTGCTAAAGGTATCATGATTCCACCTGTACATCCTGCTAAAGGTATCATGATTCCACCTGTACATCCTGCTAAAGGTATCATGATTCCACCTGTACATCCTGCTAAAGGTATCATGATTCCACCTGTACATCCTGCTAAAGGTATCATGATTCCACCTGTACATCCTGCTAAAGGTATCATGATTCCACCTGTACATCCTGCTAAAGGTATCATGATTCCACCTGTACATCCTGCTAAAGGTATCATGATTCCACCTGTACATCCTGCTAAAGGTATCATGATTCCACCTGTACATCCTGCTAAAGGTATCATGATTCCACCTGTACATCCTGCTAAAGGTATCATGATTCCACCTGTACATCCTGCTAAAGGTATCATGATTCCACCTGTACATCCTGCTAAAGGTATCATGATTCCACCTGTACATCCTGCTAAAGGTATCATGATTCCACCTGTACATCCTGCTAAAGGTATCATGATTCCACCTGTACATCCTGCTAAAGGTATCATGATTCCACCTGTACATCCTGCTAAAGGTATCATGATTCCACCTGTACATCCTGCTAAAGGTATCATGATTCCACCTGTACATCCTGCTAAAGGTATCATGATTCCACCTGTACATCCTGCTAAAGGTATCATGATTCCACCTGTACATCCTGCTAAAGGTATCATGATTCCACCTGTACATCCTGCTAAAGGTATCATGATTCCACCTGTACATCCTGCTAAAGGTATCATGATTCCACCTGTACATCCTGCTAAAGGTATCATGATTCCACCTGTACATCCTGCTAAAGGTATCATGATTCCACCTGTACATCCTGCTAAAGGTATCATGATTCCACCTGTACATCCTGCTAAAGGTATCATGATTCCACCTGTACATCCTGCTAAAGGTATCATGATTCCACCTGTACATCCTGCTAAAGGTATCATGATTCCACCTGTACATCCTGCTAAAGGTATCATGATTCCACCTGTACATCCTGCTAAAGGTATCATGATTCCACCTGTACATCCTGCTAAAGGTATCATGATTCCACCTGTACATCCTGCTAAAGGTATCATGATTCCACCTGTACATCCTGCTAAAGGTATCATGATTCCACCTGTACATCCTGCTAAAGGTATCATGATTCCACCTGTACATCCTGCTAAAGGTATCATGATTCCACCTGTACATCCTGCTAAAGGTATCATGATTCCACCTGTACATCCTGCTAAAGGTATCATGATTCCACCTGTACATCCTGCTAAAGGTATCATGATTCCACCTGTACATCCTGCTAAAGGTATCATGATTCCACCTGTACATCCTGCTAAAGGTATCATGATTCCACCTGTACATCCTGCTAAAGGTATCATGATTCCACCTGTACATCCTGCTAAAGGTATCATGATTCCACCTGTACATCCTGCTAAAG